ACCCTCAAAATGAAGATTTTTGCCATTTTATTATAATTAATATAAAAAAATTTAAATAAAATGCCACACACAATTTTAAATGTTTTTGCCGGAAAGTTACGCAACTCATTTGTTGGATTTTCTTCATTATTTTGTTTTTGTAAGGCAAGGATAATGCTGGATTCTACATTTATGTAATTTGCTGATTAAGAATTCGTTATTAAATAGAGACTATGTATTAAACGCAGAGTTATAAATAAATATGTATGAAATGTACTGTACAGTACCTGTATTAGAGAGAACTTCCAATGAATTAAGATAATGATCGGTTACTTCCGGCACTAATTGATACGGTTATGTTTAAAGGAATAGTCGTATAATAACGAGTATTAAAATTTTTGGACCCGCTTAACAAGTATAGTCGAACCTCCAATAAGGCCATCTTTAAACGGCAGCCATTATTTATGTTCCCGTCATTCGTAGATTCGTAGATTTACATATTTGAAATTGGGCCAGGCACAAAAACTTAACTTTGTAAATACTTTAAGTGGAATATCAGCCATTCGCTGTACGATACTTTGAATTTCTATAGCATAACCCTCCCTATCTGCTATTCTTTTGAAATTCGAAGACAAGTTACTATTTAATAAGTTAGGCCAATAGATACAAATGCTACTCAATATCTCAAATAACTAAAACTAAGAAACAGATGAAATAAACAGAATACAAATAAATACAACATATCTGAATAATTCGACTGATTAAACACAATAATCAACTTGGCTTAGTGTAGGATTGCTCAGTATTTAACTAAACACGCTCTGAAATACGATGATTTCGCTCTATTTTCCAGTTCTTCGGGACAGTTTTTATATTATCTGGTGAATTTTAACCGAATGTAAATAATACGATATTACATAACGGAAGATACGATCATGTTCAACAAGTTTAATCTTCCAGTTATAATACGTTTCACTGTTAGAAAGTTAAATTAATTAGAGAATAATACGTAAGGTGATCTTAAAGATAGATGCACGCGGCAGGCAAATTGAAAGCGACATCGAGCGTCAACGATGGTTCTATCAATCGTCTCCTTTTTCCTTGACAATTAAAATGGGTGATCGGTTAAACCTACCGTTGATGTTAAATGTCCCCTTAATTTTGCCGCCCTCGCTAATCAGCCTTTAAACGAATTAAATTAGATTAGGGAAGTAATTAAGTAATTTAAGAGTTTTTACTCGATTCTAAAATAATAACAGATTCTCGCTTCGAACTATCAGTTGATTAATTTATAAAATTTAATAATTATTTAAAGGAATTACGTGTCATTTCGATCCTAATAAATTAATCTTACACGGAGAAAATTCTTTTATTTAAAACCTCCACCGATTCGTCTATATTGAAATGGATTTCGGGATTCGGGTTCTTTTCACTTTGTATTTAATACAAACACATTAAATTGAAATCAATTTTAAATATAATACGACGCTTTGAGAATTTTTATAATTATAAAATCGATTATTTTACACTACTAACTCAGTAAACGTTTTAATACCTTCATGCAATAGTGTAACTAGAACTGATATTAGGAGGATGGCCCGAATTACAACACGCAAACTTACGCTCGCTTCTGTACCAGTGTGGATGTAACCCCTAGAGCAGTAAACTCTTAGATATTGTGTACGAGTACATTTACATTCTTTTGCTTATTCAACTTTTTCTTCCTTTATTTATTTACAAAAGATATGAGAGAACTGCCTTTATGTTACTTTTTCTAAATTTTTAATACTCAATTCGCTGAGTGTTTTTTTCTTCGGGAAAGTTACGCAACTGGCTGCTGGATTTGTTTTCTTTGGCATTGATTACGTCTCACCCGTTTTAAATATGATTATAAATTAAAATACTTTAAATTGTAGACTAATAAACAATTAAAAATTAAATTGACGAGGAAAACAATTTTCAAAGCCATTGAAAATGACGTAATTTACTAAAATAAATTTCTCGTAACGTCTTAATATTGAATGTAGTCTACGAGGATTTAATAAAATAAAAAAATAATATTAATAGATTAAAAAATATATGAGTTTAATATTAATTATTAGTTTTTGATGCAAATGTAATAAGGAATTAGAATTGAAATTGGTTAATTTCTGGAGAGACGAGTGGTGTCGAATTGTCAAAAATACCAGATCACTAAAGGCTTTGTATTTTCGCATAAGTCGTTACGTTATACGCGATCAGAAACGTTGCGAACAATGCTGTACACTTTGTACCAGGTTTTGTACACTTTGTACCAGGAATCATTTGCAATGATTCGTGTGCAAATAATAATTTTCCAGGTATGTAGTCTGCTGTTTCCGCCTGGACATTTAGCGCACCACGTACCCAAATTGCGATTAGCGGAATATTAGTGTGCCGGATGGCTACTTTTCATAGAGCAAAAGATTATCAGACATTTCGGATTAATGATTTTCTACTCTATTTGGATACCATAAAAGAGAGACGTTTATCACGTAATGCATTAAAAATGATGTAAAATAATTTTTGATAATTGATAATAAATTGATTATTAAAATCAGTAGCAAATACTCAAGATATTAAAACATTTCATACTCTCTCGTTTAATATTGAGGATTTTATAATTAAAACTTTGAAATGTTGCGTAATCTGTATTGTGTAAAACTAATTTCAAGCTGATATGAAATTAAAATGGGTATTACGTAAGGACCATAATTCGAAAGGAATATCCATGTACAGGAAGCGTCAAAATCTTCCCTAAGAACGCGGGAGAACTGGAAAATGTTGCAAAGCACATTTAGTACGAAAACGAATAACCCGCTGCCGACTACTAGTGTTTCGGAGTTTTCTTCACTTGTGTAACATCTAACAAGTATTGTAAGTAGGAGCGTGTTTCCCATAGAAAGTCATTCCTTCTTTGGCAGATCGCGCGTGTGTCGAGTGCATTATTCCATCAATCCAAAATAAAAAAAAACTCAACAAATTTCACAAAATAAGTAACGCATCAGATAGACCGAAAGTCCATTTGATGCATGCGGGTTATGTTTTTAAACAAATCATTAAAAAGATGCAGATAATTATATCTTTGCGAGATGCGATAATATTGTCTCCAGTTATTATATATTGATTAATTTTTTATCCATTTTATAGATTATCAAAACTTGACCCTTAAGAGATAAAGCAAATTTCGTCAATCGACAAAGATGTTTAGAACCGCTGACAGTCGGTCGCGGGTCCGCGCCTCACCAATGGGCTGACTGCCTGGAATTTTCCGGGATTTTTTAAAATGTATCTATTACCTAAATGGGGTCCTCCCAAAAGGCATTCGCCTTCCGAAGAATAATCGTTCTATATGACAAAGTTTTATCTTTCAGAGTGAAGTAAATTGAAAAATTATAGTAATTTGAACTGTGCATGGTGGAAGCGTTGCTTAATACAAGTGTTTGTAATTATGATCCTTAAGAGTTAGAAGAAAGTCAGCATCAGCGAGTCTGTCTATACGGCAGAGGTACAGTACAGTACAGTACAGTACTACAGTTAGGTGCTCGACGCATTCACGGTGAAGCCTTTATAATCAAAATAGTGCATTCACTTACAGATTTTTGCCTGGAAAAATGCGTACCCCGGTTAATCGCATTTCTATTGTCGAATGAATATAAAGTATTTTTCCGTTTTATTTTATCCAAAAACTTTACGAAAATGTTTAGAATTTGTAAGATGGTTAATAAAATAATAAATATTTGAAATTGGTTATTAATTTTTTATATATTTTCAAAGGAAAGAAAAACAAGTTATTACATTTATAATCAATTTAATGATAATTATTTTTTAAGGAAAGATAAAGGGGGAAAAGTCTGTTTCTTAGAAAAATTTCGCAATTTTTTTTTTTCGTTTTGCGAGAAATTTTTAAATAAAATGAAGATATAATTACGAAAAGTTCCTAAAAAGGGAGAACGAAAAACGACGAGCGAAGTTCTAAATTAATTATCAATTTAAAACATTACAGATCGACAGGTAAAATTCCAGATGGCGCTAGCGAAAACGAAACTTTACTGTTTTAATCTCCCTCTTTTATCTTGGAGCAATGTGTGATTTCCCGTAGTTTGGCTGTTAGTGACGGTCGCGTTGTACGGAGTATCTGTTCTAAAGAGAGGAGGATCGAGAAATGCCCATATTAAAGAATAACAAACGCGCCAAAGAGCGGGAGTATTGCGACACGTGGCCACCGGAAAGGCACTCCTTCCATAAAAATGGTCACGTCAACGGTCCCTTTCAAAATTCAGAATTGTTTGACGTTTCTTTTAAGGTGAGTTTTTATTCCAAACTTCAACTTTTCCGTTGACGTTTTCTTAATCCATCGAAGTTGACGTAAAACATTCCTCCCATTTGCAGTGATATTTTTCTTTGTAATTCGTCTCCATTTTATCCGAGTAACTTATTATGCAGTGTTCGTGATACTAAAGTCGACAAAGAAATTTGGAACAATTTTTTAACTGTTTAATTGAAAAAACCACGTTTATCGAGTGTTTAGACCGTTGACACGTTGCAAATCAGTAAAATATTTTAATTAAATTTTAGGGATTCGATTACCGAATGCCAAGTATTGAATTATTGTTTTATTTCGATTTTTTGTGCTTAAATTTACGTGTAGATGTATAAAAATCTGATGAATCTGACCATAGCAACGAGTGTGCGTATCTCTAATAGCTCTTTAATTAATTAATTAATTAATTAATAACCTTCAATATCTTTAATTCCTATCATTAATAAAAGGAGAAAAAAGCCGATTTTGAACGAGTTTGGGAGGTTTATTTTTGAGAATGTTATCTAAAATGGCGACCAAATTATTGAGTTTAATGAGAATGATTTACGTCGACGATTATTTTCTCAGCTGTCTTTGTTTAATCTTGTATTTATCGACGAAACGGGTTTCGATGTCGCAACATCTGTTACGATAAGAGCATAATTTATTTTTTCCATATAATAATGTCAAATTTTTTCAGGTGATGTTGGTGGGCGATTCGGCAGTCGGAAAAACTTGTATGTTAATTCGTTATAAAGACGGCGCGTTTTTGTCTGGAGTCTTCATCACCACCGTCGGAATAGATTTTAGGGTGAGCAATAGGAAAATAAAAGCGAAAATTAATGTCGCTTTCATTAAATATTTTCTTTTAATGACACTTTATCGTGCACTGTAACAATACTTCGACTCTTCGAATAATTCCTCAGTATTCGCTGTTATGGAAATCGTAAATCGCTACTCTTGAAATTCACAAAATGTCATTTTACCTTTAAATAGACAAAACTTATAATCAATGTTGATTTTTATTGTATTTTGTCTCGTCTTACGCAATCAATCTCCAATATCTTACTCGTTACTTGTATGTTATCGACACGAGTGAATTGTACGAATGTACGGATTCATTTGTATGTGTAATCCGTGCTGAATATATTATCGCGGTTGACTTAATATATGTAAATGTATAAACTAGATTTCCTTTCTTTAATGAACGTTGAAATATGTATTGTAACACGAAACAATTGCAGAATTTTTACTGTTGCTGAGTAAGACATTTAAAATCGTTCCTTAACACGTGGACTTTAAAATAATTTCTATTTTCCGAATTATATTATAATCCTCAGAAGTTTCAACTTAAACGTTTTTTAGTAATCTTAACTAATTGTACTTAACGTTTGGATATTCCGGATTTTTCGGAAAATTGCTTTCTGCATTGATTATTTATATACAGTGGGACCAATAAACCTGGAACCATAGGAGTTTTGTTGATCTTTATTTATTCTTTTACAGCAAAACATAGCGCTAAACAGGGAGGAACGAATTCGTTATTTTGATGGATACCGACCCATAATTAGCGAGAAGTCGCCGAAGGCTACAGGCTACATCCAGACTTCCCACCAATCAAACCGTACGCAACTTGTTAGACTCTTCGGCAACTTTGTGCCCATCAGTGGACAAACCGTTCCGTTCCCCGAACACTGGTAGTTCGGTCTAGGGTTCGCGCCTGGCCAGGGCGGGTTGGCCACGTGGAGTTTTCCGGGTTTTCTCCACGTCTCGAACGCCTAAACAGGGGCCCGTTGTCCTTAAAAAGATCTCCCGGAAGGCTACTTCTAGACAGATCGCCTAAGTATTGCGTTGCCTTAACTAACAAAACAAACAAACAAAACATTTATCGGCAACTTCATTCTGATTTACTGGTTCATACCATCAAAATAACGGATTCGTTCTCTTAATGCCATATTTCTCTTGTTAGGAGAATAAACAAAGACAACGTAACTCCTATAGTTAGACTTGTGGGACAACCTAAAAACAGTATAGAGAAACTCTTAAAACGCTTCTATTAAATATAATAAACGTATAATAATACGTATTATACTAGTTTTATATTAGTATTATAATATTTTACTTTATGTTACAGAACAAGATTGTAAACGTAGACGAAACCAAAGTAAAATTACAGGTTAGTAACAAACGATTATTATTTACGTAAGAAGTAATAATATCCGCTGTAATTATAACTAACGAATGATTTTATTGTGCTAAGATATGGGACACTGCCGGACAAGAAAGATTCAGAAGCGTAACGCACGCTTATTACAGAGACGCACACGGTGAGTAAATTATTTTTATGTCCAACACTTATGTCATATGTTTGGTTAGAGTAATCAGTATTATCGGTGCCTATACGTTAGACTTATCTTTCTTTTAAATGGACACGTTCTAAACACCGTTGAAATTAATTCTACTCATAATTCGATCCTTCTAATTTGCGAAGCGTTACTCTACCTTATATTAGTGATAAGAACTAATGATACTATTGTTTCGAACATTTCATACAAGCCTAAATATTATATATGTGAATGAAGATTATGTCAAAAAACATGTGTTCCGGTTCTTTCTAGATGGAAGACGTTGCAATGTCCTAGTAGTAGTATCACAGCTTTTATTTTCGATTTACTCGTGTTGGAAATAATCCTTATTATGTTTAGTCTAAGTACTGTACCAATTCATTAGTAGTAATGCCAAAGTTCTTCGTTTACATAGAAAGTTACGTTTCGTACTAATGTGTAATACTGTAATTGAGTAGTGTAGTCTAGACTCTTAGAGTATAATAATTGAGAGAGATTTTCCTAAGTCGTTACGATTCACACGAAACTTCCCGACAGCCACGATTTAAAAATTTAGAAAGAATTTTGATAAACTCGCCGTTTTTACGAATCTGTGGAGAAAGAAAGAAAACAGCAACGAGTTGCGTAACTTTCCCGGAAATAAAGTTAAAAATTGTCTGCGGCGCCAAATGTTTGCGATTTTATTTAAAAAACTTTTAATATTATTTAGTTATTATAAAATGGCAAAAAGCTTAATTTTGAGGTAGAAACGAGTTTTATAAAAAATCAAAATACAGTAGAGCATCGATTATCCGACTCAATTGGGGACTCGGGTTGGTCGGATAACTGAAAAAATCGGATAACCGAAAAGAATGAAAAAATACATTATTAGTATAGTATATTATTATATCCCATGTAATTAGTATATTAATGTATCGCTATTAACCTACTTTGCGTTGAATTTTCATCGATGTTAAGCCTAACAAATTTTTTTTAAAAATATTGTATCGTTAAAAATTAGAAAATTAAGTCTCGTTTAAATACTGGCTCCCTTTCATGATCGAGCCGTGTTGCCAGCTAAAACACGTAAAAATACTATTAAAGTAGCCAAGACATAGCCACATCACTAGCGGACATTTGAATTTGCCGACTAGAACGGTCGGTTAACCGATGTGACGGTTAATCGGGGGTCGGATAATCGATGCTCTACTGTATAATACATAGTATATATTAGCAGCTTTCAAAAGCATTTGGTCCGGAGTAATTCGAAGGATGAGAATTGTTTCGAATATATTAATTATTTGCTCAAGAGATAAACTTTTACCCGAGAATCGGAGACAAAATCCAAGGTGGCCTGTTTCTTTCTGGCAAACAATTCGTGCGAAATATTAGAGGAGAAGGTGGTATTATGGAACCCCAATTACATTTTAGTGAATTGTAAACAAGGTATCATAACTACACCCACATTTTTTGTGCAAATAGTACCGGTAACTAGTAAACTAAATGTTCCTAATTGGATTTTTCGCTAGTGTAATTATAAGTATGGTTTTTGAAGGCTTTTGTACAAAAAGTCCGAAAGTAGGCTTAGAGAAAATCGGGTGGTAATATGGAACCTTACTGTATATTTTCAAAAAAATGCTTTAATGTAGCCAAAAACAAATAGGAAAG